TTGCTAGTAGGACTTCATCAGATCTAGCTCAGTCTTCATTAGTTGATGATAAGAAATGCACCTAAATATCATATATTCTACATATTTTTTATAATAAAATGCCTGGCTCTGTCTATTGTCTCTTCTATGTTGTTCATTCTTAATAAATAAAAAGAAAATAAATATTTATGATGTGTTCACTATAGACTTATATTAAAATAACTTATTTATTGTACGTGATGAAAAGAATTTTCTATTAATATAACATAATTTTTAGTTCAATCAGTTCATATTCAATGTCTAATCAAGTTTCTATTCAATCTTTTCATCCTTATTATTATGATACAACTATTTCAAGCATAGATAAGCAAACAGGAAAATTACTATTGGAATCTTAATACTACAAAACAAAAAAGAAAAACTAAGCAGCTGTTTCGAAAATTTTCTTTATATTTTTATTATAATTATTTTCTATTAAAAAAAAAATCAAAAGTTTATTCAATCATTTTTATTATTTTCTTTTAATTAAAATAAACATAAAATGTACAATATAATAATATTTTTTTGATGAATATGACAAAAATATTTAAGCTACTTATAAATCTTTTTCTTAGTAGAACTAATCTTTTGTTAATTAAATTATTAGATTATACTTCATATTTAGATGTTTAAAATAATTTTGACATGTAATTTTTACAATTATAATAACAAAATGATTTATAATCATATGATTTTTATTCATTATAGTATGAGATAATTTGGAAATTATTTTTGTTGTTCGACTAAAATAATTTTTATCATATACAATTATTATTTACATGTGAAAGAATTTCTATTAAAAAACTCTTTTCTATAATAGAAAAAAATTTTCATTTGAAACATTCCGAAGTTATGAGTGATGAACCATATATACACATTTCCTTTTTCTAGAAAAAATTAATTAGTTTTATTATCAAGAAAAAGAAAAAATATTCTTACAAATAATAAGTGCATCTTTTTCTTTTGACAAAATATTATATTTAAGGTTCATGAAATAGGATAAATTTATATTCAATTGATCAAAATAGATTTGCGTTAAAAAACAATAAAAGTTTCAATAATGATATAATATCTGTTTGAATTTTTTTTTACTAATATTATATTTTAATATATAGTAGAATTTATCATTGTTCATTTTTTTTTTTTTCTATTATTAAAATTCGACATACAATCTCTCGTGTATACATTGTTAATCAAGTAACACAGATGAATAAAGAAAAACAAAAAACAACAATGTTTAATAAAAAAACAAAAAAAAAAGAAAGATTCCTTGACCCGAAAATGAAGCTTTATTATTATACCAAATACCATATGAGTTTTTATACCATCAAATTAGTAATAACATTTTTTTTTCCTGAAAGCTAAATAAATTACGAATCGTGCGTGTTATGCTTTCATATACAATATTTTCTTGACTATTATTACATTCATTAAAAGAATAGAAACATTAATAAAAAAAATGTGTATCTAATGTTTTTTTTTCTTTTGTTAGACATACAATATTAAAAATAACAATTAGTTGAGTTTTATTTTTGGTGAATATATTTTTCGACAAAAAAAACAATATACTAATGATGGTATTCAAGATGTAATTGCGGAAAACGAATGATGATAATTAGTAGAAGATACTTTCTCATTCAAGAAATAGAAAACTTGCGAGTTGGACTAACTTATTGTTATATAAAAGCATGATATAACTACTCATCTAATGAGAAACTAGATACATCTAGACTTTTTTTAATGTCAAGTAATATCATAATAAATATGTTGACATTTGTATCTTGATGAAATTAGAGAAAATACTTTTCCTGTATGTTATTAAATTACCTATTATGTAATATAAATTTAAAAGTTAATATTAAGTCTGGATTCATTGAGAAAATTAACATACCTGGATACTTAAATATGTAAGACAATTGTTTCATTTATTTTGAAATCTATTGTCAAAAAGCTTTTCCGAATAAAGTCTAAAAACTTCTTTAATTATTCAATTTATTCAGTTAGTAAATGGAACAATGTTTTTTTTGTCTCTTTTCTTCAGTACTACTTTGATTGGTATAGAAAAAAATTTGCTAAGTAAACAATACAATACTATTTTAGATTCTATCTATCTCTAATTTGAATAGCTCGATGACTATTAGTGTACCACTTGCATCAAGTACGGAATTTCCTCGAATGAATCCTTGTAAAATTATTAATCATCTAATGATGTTCCAGGATTGTTTTTTTTTCTCTACATGTTAGTATTTTTAGCAAATATAATACAAAAATGATGAATTATATATTATAATTACAATATGCTGAAAATGAATTAACAAAATTCGTTTTTATTTTTCTATCTTGATGAGAATGTTATACATGATGATTTTCTTCTTATTCAAACACTCAAGTTACATATCTTCAATTTTTATGAAATATAAAAAATATGATTTCATATCATTATACATAAAATAAGACTGAAGTCATTCAAATAAATTTAAAAAAAAACTGCATTGATTTAATATAGAAACATTGAAGAATAACATTTTTTTTTTGTAGTTCGTAATATTTTATGTATTTGCATTATTTTAAAGTTGAATTATTGCAATCAATCTTACAGCATATGAAATTTCATGATTAGAAGTCTGATTGTAAAAAAAATTAGTGCAAATTATATAGGACATAATCATTTTCTTTTCTTAAAATGATTCAACTTTTTATTTTCTAACAACAGTTTTGATACATGCATTGAAATTCTACTAGAAATATATACAAGAAAAAGTTATTTTCTCATGAACCTTGAAAAGGTTGTCGAAGCAGAGAACACAAAAATTCTCTATCATTCTATTAAATAATTCCAATAGTGCTTATCAAAAGAATTATCTATTGTTATACATTTTGTTTTTAAGAATATTTATAGAAATGATGTTTCACTTTTTTGTTTGCTTGAAAAACATCAGATCTTGTAAGACGTAATGGGTGGTCGGAAATTTTTTGGACAAAATGTTTGTTAAATTTTGGCTCATTTGAAAATATTTCAGATGAATCGAAACCTATGGATTAGAACCAGAATTTTGTGCTTTTTCTGAATATGAACTTAAAAATTTTGTGTCAGTTTTTATTCAAGAACAGTAAAGAAATCTTTGAAAGGCCTGAAAAATTAGTTTGGACAGGAAATTTCTTCGTACTTTTTCATATTTTAACTATTGCGATTCGAAACTACAAGTGAAAACCTTTATTACTCTATCAGCTGATAGAGCAAAATCTGTTCTACAAAATGTACTATTTGAATTTTTTATGATCATTAGGTAAGACATCTCAATTTTCGTTTTTCCTACACCTTCAGTTTTGAACAATTGACTTTTTGACTAAAAGACGTTTTACACACAAAAGGAGCTCCTCAAAAAATACATATAATTTCTCTCTCTTGTGTAAAAGCTACAACTTAATTCAAAAAGAAGTGTTCACTCTACAAAACTACCGTGTCCGATAACTTTTAGCATGTTCGCAAATGAACATATATGGATTAGGAAAAACCAGTTTATGCGTCGTCCAAATTAGTTTTTAAGGTCTTTCAAAGATTTACTTCACTGCTCTTGAATAATAACTGACACAAAATTTTTAAGCCCGTATTCAAAAAAGAGCACAAAATTCTGGTTCTAATTCATAGGTTTCAACTTGTCTGAAATATTTTCAAATGAGCCAAAATTGAATAAACATTTTGTCTAAAAAATTTCCAACTACTCGTTAATTATTTTATCCAATGAATAAAAATTCTTTTTTTCTAATATAAATAATTGAATTCATATTGTTATTTTATCATTTATTCTTATTTTTCAAAATGTTGTTATATTTTTTTTTTTTTTTAAAAAAACAATAAATGATAACAGCGGTTGATAATAAATATCTATTTGGATTTTTTTTGTTTGATTTTTTTCATATAAAAATCAAGTTCTTTTCCTTCAAGTACATAACCATCACAACGACCACATTGACCAGGTTTTGATGCAATACAAGCAAGTACACGTCCAGCTTGAAATTGTTCTTCAAGTCCTTGTTCAACTTTAGCACGACGTTGTTTAATAACAAGTTTTTTTTCTGATTTAGTTGAACGTTTACGATTAAGTATAGCATCTTCAGTTTCAGTTAATTTAACACCTTTTTTACGACCAAGTGGTAATGCATAATATGATTCATACCATTGACGAAATGGAACAGCATCAATTTGTACAATAGTTGATTTTGTTAATGTTTTTGTACGTACTAATTCCTAAAATCGTGAACAAAAATTTGTTTGTTTTTTCTGAAAGACTTATTTTTAAATATTTACATTATTTGATGGATGATACATAACATCGATAACACGTGTTTTTTTAGCAATACCTTCTGAACCCCAAGAAAAATTACCAATATCAAGACGTAATGCACGATATTTTTTATTACCACCTCTTGTACGTACAGTATGTATACGTTTAGTACCTAATTTAGTAAGAGCTGCTGGTCGACCTAATTCAAATTTTCGTTTTTTATGTGGTTGTGGACGTTTACCACCAGTTTTTCGTCGTTTATGCCAATGATCACGACTAATACCCATCTTTTTTTTGTTATTATAATGATAGGTTTATCTAAAAAAAATGGAAAAGTTTTGTTTTTTTTTTCTTTTTAAGAAAACCAATATTTTTTCATGTAAATAAATTAATTCGATTGAGAAAAAGTATCCATCTTTAGTATAAATAACCATTAAAAAATCAATAGAAGGAGGATAATAAAAATAAATGAAAAATTTTTTATTCTAAAAGTTTATATTTTGATTGATATCGGTTTTTTTTTGTTTTTTTAGGAAAAAATGAATTTTTTTTTTATTTTTTAATACGACATCTAATAGAAAAAAATTTCTTTGGTTTATAATTCACCAATTATTTTTCAAGAATAAAAATAATTATTAATAATAATGATTTTATTATTTGTTGTGATTGAACAGAAAAAATTTGATATATGTACAAATGTCTATTGTTAAATCTCGTACTGTTGGTATTTGTTCATTTGCAAATTTTATAAATGCAGCTGATCGAGCAATTATGCCACGTAAAATGAATTGTTTTTTAATCGTAGTTTTTGTTATGTGAAATTTTTTTTTGTTTTTAAGTTGCTATTATTCCAATGGCAAAAGAATTTAATTGGAATTTACGTTTACAAGGTTATATACTTTCAGCATTTCCTATTGGATATTTAACAAGTCAATTATTTACACATATATTTGTTAAACGTTTTGGAACAAAAATTGTTCTTGCTTTTGCTGTATTTACATGGTCATTAGTAACATTTATAACACCTTTTTTAGCACCTTGGCCTTTATTATTAATTTGTTCAAGAATTACATTAGGATTTGGTGAAGGATTAGGTATAAAGAATGAAATTTAGAAAAAAAAAAACATTGTAAAATTGAAAAATTTTAGCTTTACCAACAATTTTTCATATCTTTAGTAATTATGTACCTATGGAAGAACGATCAAGATCATTTAGTTATCTTATTGCATTAGGTTCTGTTGGGCAAACATTTGCAGCTGTGGTATGAATAATTAAAAATAAAATATTATTTTTAAATTAAAAATTTTTTTTAAATTATAGATATGTCCTCATATTGCTTGGCGTATTGTTTTTCTTATATTTGGTGTTATGGGTTTTTTTTGGACATTTTTTTGGATTATTACTTATCGTGAAGTTAATAATCTTTCTATTGGAAATGGAACTGATGAAACATTTTTTCCATCACCACCTAAAGTATTATTTTAAGTTTTCAACAAAAAAAAAAAACAATTTTTTTTTATTGTTGTTGTTTTATATTATTAGGTAAGCAGTAAAAATTATCGATGGATTGAATTTATTTCACATTGGCCTTTATGGGCTATTTATATAGCACATTTTTCTATGAATTGGTCATCATATATTGTTATGGTATGGTTACCATCGTATTTAACAAAAACATTTGATGCTGATCCAACTAATTTATCATTTACAGCATTTCCATATGTTATAAATTGTTTATCGGGTGTTGGTAAATATAACCTAAAGAATCTATCTCTTTAATAGAGATGTAAAAGGAACTAAGCTTCTTACAATGCCGGCTACTTTTTCTTCAGTAGTTTCGGTTCAATTTGAACTGATTTTGATGTCAGTTCAAAACACAAAAATCTTCCATCTGAGAATTCTAACATAATTCACTAAACAACTATACAAGAGTTTTGACTACAATATTTAGTTTCATCCACGAGCTTTATCACAACAACTTTATGAGAATTAGAGATATCCATCATGGCTAGAGATGTAAGCCGTACAGCTGAGCCGCTCCGCTACCACTACGAACGAAAATTTTTGATAATAGTATGAGGCGCCGCCGCCGTTAATATCGATACATATGCGATCGGCCAGTTTTTCATCTTTTAGGAGCAAAAACTTCCTTTTTTTTTGGTTGTTAAAACTGCCGACGATATAGAAAAACATAAAGTCTAGTAGGCGCCGCCACTAGGGAAAAAAATTGATCATTAAAACCGCCGCTGCTGTTTGACTCTTCAGCTTACACCTCTAATCGCGGGCAAAAACAATGAAAGCATCCGCGACGCCATATAAAAAAACCTTGCCGTCGCCGTGATGGTCTTCAAAAGAATGCTTTGATTATCAAGACTGTGACTAGTCTAAACTAGAACTGCTAATCGATCAGACTCGTTAAGTCTTACAGTATAGCAAACATGAACGTTGAGATTTTTGTGTAAATTCATGAGTTTTTAAATTTTTTTTTCTAAAAAAAAAAGCTGCCGCCGCCATGGACATCTCTGATGAGACTATAATGCCATCACATTTACATGAACTTAATGCAGTAAAAAGAGGAGTGATTTTCGATTATGCCTTTTAGCATTAAAAAAAAAAGATGTATGATTAGTTTATTTACATAAATACTTATCCTTGTATTTGTTTCGAGAACTGATCGAAATTTAAAAAAAAAAATGTATATTTATTTTATATTAACGACCATGAAACAAGAGTTCATAGTTATTTTTAAACATCATAGTTTATTACATAGGATAGAGATTAACAATAGATATCAATTGTTAGTAGAACTTCGCATTAACAAAAAAATAAAGCATTCAACAAATACATATGAATGGTAGACATATATGATCATACAAACTTTGCATAGTAACCAATCATACGAATTGATTGTATACCATTATATAGCAACTAATTATGAAGTTTAGACACTTACGTAAATACAGCTTCGATCTAGACGATTCTAATGATGTTGATGCATGAAATAATATATTTGCAAAAAATGTGTTTTTCTTTTATAAATATAAAGATTTGAATTTCAGTTCGAGCATGGGAACTATTCAACGAGTTCAGGACATGACAAACAGTTTTCAAAACATATAGAAAATTATGAAAGCACCGTTAACTTTCTTTTTTTTTAATATAGCGTCTGTTGCCGTTTAGTTTGTTTGTAGTAGAGATGTCCATCGCGGCGCGACCGCTGCCGCTGTGGCGGTGGCGGCGCGGTAGCGGTAGGTTTTTTTGGAGAACAATGCAAAAATGCATGAATTCGAACAGAATTTCAATGTTTGCAAGTGCAAAACTATGAGATTCAACAAATCTTATCGATTGGTAACAACAGCTTTAGTCCTGAACAGTCACAGATCGTAAAATTCACAACATTATTCTAACAATCATCGCGGCAGCGGCGCGCTAGGTTTTCTGTTTTTATCACCGCGGTGCGGTAGCGGCGCGTTAGCTTTTTTCTTTTATCGTCGCGGCGCGGCAGCGGTCAGTTTTCAACCGCGATGGACATCTCTGGTTTGTAGACCTATTATAGCCTATGTTCGGATTTGGTATCTTTCTACTAATTATAATAGTGTATGTTTGAAAAATGAAAACAAAAAAAAAAAAATTAATGTTTCGTGTCCTATTCCTTTAGATGTGTAAACTAGTATAAATACAAAAAAATAATTTTTATTTAGCTGCAGGTCATTTTGCGGATTTTCTTATACAAAATCGTTGGACATTATTATCTGTTCGTCGATTAATGACAGCTATTGGTTTACTTGGACCTGGTTTATTTATGCTAATGTTTATTTCCGTAGATAGTTTATTTCTTGCTTTTGTGTAATATTTCAAATTGATTGTTTTTTTTTAAATACTTAAAAATTTTTTTTTTTATATTAAATTTAGATTTATATCGATAAGTATGGGTTTAGGTGCATGTAATTCTGCTGGTCATCTTTCAAATCATGCTGATATAGCACCAAATCATGCTGGTATAACATTTGCTATATCTAATACACTTGCAACTATACCAGGAATCTTAGCTGGTCCTGTAACAGCTGAATTAGTTGTTGCAAGTCATAATCGTTGGTTTCCTGTATTTATTCTTGCAAGTGCAGTTAATTTTGTCGGTGCTATTATATATCAAAGCCAAAGTGCATCAACACAAATTCTGTGATAATATTAACAGATACAAAAGGGATCTGTTTTTATTTATTTATTTTTTCTTTAAATAAAATATAGTTTTTTTTAATGTAATTCTCATATTTTAATAATGAATTAAAATTAAATCTAAAAATATATTTGTAGATGGCTAAAAGTAAACGAAGTAAACATATGCGTGCAATGCGTAAAATTCTTCGTGAAAAATTATCAAAAAAAGATGAAACTAAACGATTAGCATCAATGAAAAAAGATAATTTAATTCGTAAATAAACTCTTTTTTTTTATTACAAAAAAAAAAAAATATAATTTGTTTTATTTTGTTAGCATCAACTGTACCAAAAAAGGAATCATTAATAGATGAAGGTATGACAAAAAAAATGATTCGTTTGATTGAAATATTGTTTATTTTTTTTTGTTTTAAAGAAATGCAAACTGGTAATCCATCCGAATATAATATTCGTACATTAAAAAATAAAGATGGTCAATTTCCATCATGGTTAAGTGGTCGTCAACGAAAACGTTTACAAGCTAAACAAGCTGTTCAAAAACGAAATGATAAAAAGAAAAAAATAAAGAAAAATGCTGGTAAAACTACAAAACAAAAGAATAAAATATTAGAAAAATCTGAAGCTATGTTAACTTAAGTTTTTTTTTGTTTTGTTATTAAAAATAAAAGAAGATAAATTTCATGTTTGCATTTTGCAAATTCTTGTTGTTATTATTAATTCAATTCATCAGATTGAATAAAGTTTTTTGTTTTGTATTAATTTTGCTGCATGGATCACATAGATTTATTATTCATTTGAATTGTTCGTTTTTTTTATTATTTCTGACGAACAAGTCAAGACTAATGCCCATTTCAAAACAAAAAGGCGGGTGAGTATTTTTTGAATGGTTTGAACTAGAGAGCTGCGGTTTTCACCATTGACAAGAGAAGATAAAGAAGCATCAAATCATATATAAAAATATTTTCCCAGCAGTTTTGGTCATATGTTTTCAAAAGATTGCTCTTTTCTCATACGTTAAAAAAAAACATAATTTTTTCGATTATTTTGTTGAAAAAATTGGGTGGTAAATAGCTAATATATATTAGTGGTAGTGGTCAGGAATAGAATTTTTATATGGCTTTTGCAGCTCTTCATTTGGTGATTCTAACACACTCCTGAAAATTATTAAATAAATATCATGACTATGAGAGGCACGCTGTTTTTCTAGAAGCTTTATATAAAACTATTAGGAAAGTTGTCTAAACCGTTCAAAAAATACCTACCGGCCTCTTTTTTTTTTGAAATGAGCATTAGTTGTCAACATGGTTAAAGCGATAGGTTGAATATTGTATACAAAACATTCTTTAAGGCACATGTTATTTTATTACAGTTTTGAATCATTTTTGTTGTAGATACGTTATAATAGTATAGAGATCATATTTATTTACTTGTTCTGTACTTCTCTTTGTAGATTCTGATTTTTTTTTCTCTCTAATCATCTTCAATCAATTATCATATTTCGACAAATATTTCGTCGTATTACTTTGTCAGCTATTGTTGCTGGTAATAATACTAGCAAAGAATCAATAGCTGACAAAGTAAAACAATTAATAAACAATCATAAAGTGATTGTATTTTCAAAAACTTTTTGTATGTTATTTTTCCATATATATGAAAATTTTGAAAGTTCATATGTTTTTTTTTTGTAGGTCCTTATTGTATAAAAGCAAAAAATTTTCTTGCTAATTATAAATTAAAAGATTATAAAATAATTGAACTTGATGAAATTGATAATGGTAATGAATATCAAGATATATTAGGAAAACTTACAAATGCTTCAACTGTTCCACGTATATTTATTAATGGAAAATGTATTGGTGGTTGTGATGATACAGAAAAATTATATGAAAATGGTGATTTAGAAAAACGATTAAGAGAAGTTGATGCTATTGTAAATTAAGGTTATTTATATGTATTCATGAGTGTTCTTTTCTTTTTTTTCAAATTCAAACTGATTGATTATTTCCGTACCCTTTTTTTTTGTTTTTTAATTAATAGGTTTGTCTTTTGATTTATTGTTAATAAACACGTTGATATATTTTATAGCGAACTTTGATTATCTTTTTATAGAATGAAATATTAATCAAAAAAAAAATTCATAATTAGTTTCTGTTTCAGGATATAAGGTTATAGAGATAGATTAAAAAAACATTGATGTATCACATTCGGATCTAGATAATCAAAACTGACTGTGTAATATGCGTTGCAAAAATATCAAATTCTGTTGAATTATATTGCCAACGTTTAAAGCAATGAAATTTTTTGTTGATAAAAAAAAAGAGCACTATCTAAACTATTAATTTTGTGTCAGAGATATTTTTCAAGATGAAATACTTCGAAAAATTAACATTTTTCATTTTATTGATGTATTGAAAATTACAATTACGCATAGTTTTTATACAGAAATATAGTCAATTGGTCATTTTGTTAGGTTAAGAAAATACTTTTTTTGAATGTTTTTACTTGATGATAATATGAAAAGTAAGATCTATTGTCTTTGTAAATTTCAAAAACAGTTTTGACTTCATGTAACATCGGTAATATGAATTAATATTGGTTTTTTAAATATAATTTTGAAGCAGAACATTGGAATTAATTTCCAACTATTATATAAATATTGCAAAAAGTCGTTTCTATACATCTTTGCAATAAAGTTAGAATTATTTTACAGAATTTTCGATCCGTTTTTAGATGCAAATCGAAAAATCAAAATTTTGAAAATAAAATTTGGTTCATATAGATTTGATTAATCCGTAGAATATCTTGAAAATTTCAGCCGAAAAAAAAAAAAAAAATTTTTGTGACATATCTATGGCAAATGATTATTCTTAGGAGATTCCTTTCAGCTGAAACTCTCAAGATCATTTTGTGATTTTTAATGGTCTTGCCAAGACCTCCTTGTTGGTACAATATGAGTTCAAATGACGAGTCAAAATTTAGATGGTTCCTTCGGCAGCGTTTTTCAATGATGAAATAAATAACTATCATCAATTAAATTCAAACAACTTTTTCATATCAGTTATATGAAAACAAACCTTTCATATTATCCTACCAGTATGTTTATCACAATAAGCTCTTTCAATCAGAAATAGATCGATGACAAAATGAGTATATCTATTCGAAGAAAATTCATTAACAAATTGATTCAATATTTATATTTTACTCAAAGAAAAAACAATTCCGCATTATAAAATAAATGACTCCGATAGTTATCATGTTTTTTTTTTTTATCGTTTAGCTCGTAAAATCAATAATGTCTGTTGAATGTCAAGAGACAACTTTTCGATATTGAATAAAAAAAAAAATTGATTAGATACTACTCAATTTAATTACATACAATTTATTTATATAAAGAAAATATAAAAGATATTTTTAGGGTTACTTCTCTTCTACGAATGATCATAGTTCCAAAAAAAAAAAAAGTTTTTTTTAATTATCTGAGATATTTTCTAAAATAAAATTTCTTAATGAAAATGTTGCTGAATTGACGTAATAAATAACAAAAAAAAAAAAAAACAGCGTTTAAGTTCGTTCTCAATATGATAAAAAACATCATTTACTTTTCATGACATAAGTCATTTCTACTTATTATTTTATTTAATAAACATAAATAACACATGAGATCGATATATGAATTAATTTTTTCTTCGTTTATTTCAAAGTTATTCTTTCGAATCATTTTATTTATTCGAGTAATTTCAATTAGGATGTAATGAAGTATAGATAAATATATAACAAAAAAAAATGCGATATAGATATATAATTAAATTAATATGATAACATCTTCCGATAATTCAAATGACGGTGTTTTTAACATGTTGATGAGAGAATTGATGATTGTTCATTATTAACAACGAACGAAATTAAAAAAATGAGAGAGAGAGACTCAATCGATTTATATATGTGTTTTTTTTTTTGAGCATTCCACATAGAAGATAAAAACGACCCACATATATTGATCCTTTTTTTTTCTCCTCATCTCATGTTGAGATATTTCTTCTTTTTTTTTATAAATATAATGTTAGAGATCGTGTGACATTCATTCTATCATTTTATTTAGAATAAACAACATATATTATCATGCAATCTACACTCATTGTCCGATTTACTATGGTTACATGCTTGCTATTTTTATTCTTTACTGCTGTTCTTTCTGCACCTAGTGTAAGTTATTCAAGAGTTTTACGATTATTATAAATATTTGATTTGTATTTTTATTTTATAGTCATCTGATTCGAAAACTGAGTAACGAAAAAATTTTCTTTTTCGTCTTCTCTTATCTTTCAAAAATATTCTTTAGATCCAACGTACGAGTAGCTCGATCAACAATCGGTGAATCTGAAGATGATCTCATAAAATATTGTCAACATTTCTGTTCTAATAATTTATTATTTAAAAAACGGTAAAAAAAAAACATTTCCTATGAATAAATAACAAATTTCCAAAAAACAAAAACCTTTTTTTTTCTTAGAGCATATTTAAAAGGTTTTGTTCATGGTCGATCAATTGATGAAGAAGATGAACTACAAGATATAAGTGATGATCTTCTCGACAAACGTTTCGTACATGGCAAACGTTTTGTTCATGGTTAAACATCATAGGAAGAACTCTATAAAAATAAAAAAGACATTTTATTCCTGTATGTGTCATTCTAAGTAAAAAAATAAAATCGTCTTATTAAACAAAGCAAAAAAAAAACTCAGATATGAATATGACTGACATCTAACGAAATGCTTATGGTTTTTGTTGGTTTCCTTTGACAACGATGCAACGAGAAAAAAAAAGAATATGAATATCTCTTTTGATTTTCATGGGGTTCTAATAAATAATGTCGAAAGCATATTCAGGATATAAAATAAATAATCAAACAATTTTAGAAGAACATATTGATGAAAATTATGAGCCAACTGATGAAGAAATTCATGAATATGCTATATATATCGGTATTGAACCTGAGAAAGTAAATCAAAATATGATTAAAAGAAAAAATAAATAAACAAAATATAATTTTAAATAGGAAAAAGATCTTCTTTGGTTGGCAAGAGAAGGTCTTATGAAACCATTACCATCAGGTTGGAAAGCATGTCAAGAAGAAAATGGAGAATTATATTATTTTAATTTTAATACGGGAAAATCATCATGGGATCATCCATATGATGAAATTTATAAAACACGTGTTATTCAAGCACGGTAAAATGTTTAATAAAAAAAAATTTTTCTTTTATTATTATGTTAATATAAAAAATATATAACAATTAGAGACAAGAAAACTTCATCATCAATTATATTTGATACACTTTCAAAAGGTAATTCTCTTTCAATATTTATTTAATAGAATTCAAATATGTTTATTTAAACAGGAAAAAATACATCAAGTATAAGTGATTTATCAAGTGGAAAAAATCCTCATAATTTACCTTTACAAACAAAAAATGATACAATCGATAATCAATTCGGTATAAAAAAAAAAAATTACAATTTTCAAAAATAAAAATATATATATTAAAAAAAAACTTAATTTTTCTAAATTAGATTCTCAATATATTAACAGTGATTCAAGTGGTGAATTAAACAATAGTGAAAATGATCATACACATAGTAGTAATGATTTTCAAAAAGATGTCTATTTTGGTAAATTATTTATTAGTTTCGATAAAAATGAATTTTTTTTAATATTTATCACAATGTTGAACAATTTTAGTATAATTAAGATGAAGTAGAATACGATTATAGGAGAGTTTGATGTCGAACTTTTAGAATTTCAATAGATAATTTATGAGATCTAGTTTTTTTTTCATATAACATGAATAGTTATAAAAGAAACAAAATTATAATTAATTATTAGGTATTGATCGTGAACTATCTGCCCGTATTGAACGTGAAGAAAATGAACCAACAGCAATTATTACTCCATCTCCACAACTGCTATTTACTGATAATAGAGGTTATTTGTTTTTATATATAGCGTGACTATCTTCAGTATAGTTTAATCAATCGGACTGATGTGTTTCTCGCTCTTTTAAGTTTTTATTTACAAGAAAATTGTCAAATATATATATACTGTAGAATTAGCACTATTGATTTCAATGGAAAAAAAAATACTCCAAGCCAACGGGTTCAGACTGATCTTGATCACTCGAGTTGACGAGGAGTTATGATATATGTACGATAGTTCCTCGTGCTAAGATTTCTGTAAGTCAAGAAGGAAAGAAGTTTAGGACTCGGCGAACCTATCATTGTATAGTAGTACTTCAATAGGGGGTATGTAAACTTTAAATCTCATCGAGTTTTTAATAAAACGTTCAAAAACTGCGAATATTTTACGAAATATCAAGTTGATCAGCTCATAGGCTCCTTCAACAGGGTTCTATATCGCCGAGAAAAAGGCAGTCCGATTGATAAAAGTAAACTGGAGATATGAAGTATTTTTTGTCATTAACTGCGCATTGCAAAATATAATGTGCTCCCCTGTTTTTTGAATAAATTTTGAGAGGAACATCATAGAGATCTGCAGTTTTTATCATTCAAAAGAGAAAAAACCCGAGATCATTGAAATAGAAGATGGCAATACTCTAAAGCCATTTTCATTTCAACTTATACTTGTAATATAATGAATCAATAGGAAAATTTTTTCTTTCTAATTCTACATAAGACCAATATTCTTAGTTTGTTCCATTCAAGACTTATAAAGGTTTCCTAAGATCCATGATTTCAGCGCATTGACCTGCGATCACCCGGAACAGCAATGTTCGATTTGGTTTCA